AAGCAGGGTTAAAATTATAACATGCTGGATACCGGTCCTCCAGGTCCAGGATTGAGAACCATTGCTTTAGATGGTCTCCCTGAAGCTGAATTACTGAAATAAATGGACATTTGCACCATATTCTAATTTTTTGAGCAAAAACAAAAAAAAAAAAAATACTTCACCTTCATCAACTCCTATCTGGGCAAGTTAAACAAATATATTATTGTATTTTTTACGTGGAGATGAACAAAATCAACAATTTAAAAATTGTAATTCTTTCCCTTTAGTGAAGAACAAAATGACTTTTGAAGACTTTTACGTTCTGCTTTGTTGTTGCTGTGGGTCAGTGCTCCATGGAGATGCGTGATCCACTGTGAGCTGATGATCACTACGATCCCTTAACTCACCTGTATGTGTTTAAGTCTCTGATGGAGCCGTTTGGTGACACGATGATCAAGTGAGGAATAAAAGAGGCCATTATGCAAAATCTGAAACACGGTTTGCTTAATATTCTAAACTCAAAATGTTTTTAGGCTGATTTTTTGTGCTTCTTTCAAAAGAATCACTGTTATGACATGTTGATTTAGCTCAATTTGCTTAAACATTTCTGAAAAAAGGATCAGTTCCATATGTTTTTACTACATTAGTAGAATTTTGAATACAGTACGTTTATAAAATATCTTTATGAAAACCTGGAAACACTCGAAGAGCTGGTTGAGTTTGAAGAATGTTACCCATCATCTCGTCTGATGGATGTCTGAGAGCTCCTCTCTTCAGGGCAGAAACAACATCACGTCCTTTTCAAAAATTTTCATCAAAATATTAAACTGTTGAGGCTCTGGACTTTTGTCTTTTTTATCAGACTTATTCAGTATTTTCCACACCCCCAACCCTGAGTATGACTTACAAAGCATTCATTCCTATTAGAGACCCCTGCAAATGTATTGATTTATCAAGTGATCCACACCTTTAATAAAGGTGCAAATAAGCATTACCAGTATAATAAATTTTACTCCAAATGTGCTCTCAGAATTTGTTGGAATATAACATTGTTTAAAATTAAAATTAATATTGCTATTAATGTTTTGCATTAATGATGGTATCTAGTTACATAAGAAAGATGTAATTAAATTGTTTCAACCAAAAAATGTCAAAACTAAATGAAATTGGTCACATCTTGACTTCCAGCGTCTGTCCTTAAATGCATAAAACCACTAAATTTTAGACCAGACATTATTTTTAAGTTCTTTCTTACGTTTCTATTTTCACTCATGTTTTTGTAAACTGCCCCTAGATGCAAATCGCTGTGAGAAATCTCAGCCTCTGGTCTTGACTCAGGCTGTAGACAGTCAGAATCTGTACACCCACTCTTCTGCACTGGCTGCTGTTTCCGTTGTAAGGCTTGCCAAAAAAATGAGTCTGTTTTCCATACAAGTAATCTATGTCAGCAGTAACATTTCACTGTTTGTTGTTGACCTTTGTAGTAATCTGCAGTGCGGCTGCAGCAACTCAAGTGATTTGCAGTTGGTGTTTGTTGTTTTTCAGATCTGAATTGTCAGCACGATAAAAAGAGGCCGCCTTGTAAATTAATTTCCTAAGTAATGTTTCTTATTCTTGAATCATTCCCAGTGTTTGGTCATCATATGAAGGAAAGTTTTCAAGATTTTGTTGCTGCAGGTTGTGAAACTGGCAAATAAAAAAATAGCTGGAAAAATGCTATTTAATATTTTCATTTGTTACAACAAACAAGCCTTTTGAAGAAAAGGAGTATTCAACAGTCTATATTTTTCCCCCTGGAGAGTAAGCCTAATTCAGTGTATTTTTTTATTAATGGGAAACAGGCTGCAATACAAGTGGATGTATTTTGCTTGGTCTCAGTGCTCAACCAGTGTCTATTTATATAGCGCAATATTGTTTTGGGATGGTAAAAAGTTCAGGAGACAAAAATAGACTTTGGAAAAAGTAGGGGGGCATGCCCCCCCCCCCCCCCCCCCCCAAAAAAAAACTACGTCCACGGCTTAAAGCTACAGTTGCTAATTTGACAAACAAATGAGCTTAAAAGGCTTTTTTTCATGCCACTTATCATTCTCACATAGCATAACCTTCCCTGGGGGGTCCCTCAAGGTTCCACCCTTGGATTGTCACTGTTCTCCCTAAACATTCTGCCCATTGGAGCCATTTTTAGACGGCATGCAGTTTCCTGTCACTTATTTGCGAGCAACTGGCAAATCTACTTCTCTCTCAAGCCCACTGACTCTTCTAAACTTCATCTCGATTGTCTTTATGACATCAAAGACTGGCTGGCTGAAAACGTCCTCCATCTGAACGACTCTAAAACTGAAGTAATTGTTTTCCTGAGTGAGAAGACTTAGTTCTAAATTTACAACAGGCCAGCATCTGTGAATGAGATGTGGATGGATATGTGTTGTCCATTTTAAATATGTCCCACTAACTTCAGATGTTACATCATCATGGATATTATGTTGTCACTACTGCAACGATGATGATTTTCTGCCCATGTTGGCTTTCACTTTATTTTTTAATATGTGAATCATATTTTTGCATTAAAACTTGCTAACGTGCAACAAATCAAGTACTCTAATGTGTGATCTACATGTGATCTCTATAATTGTATTGCCTTCTTTAATGTTTCCCTCCAATTTAGCAAATAAATGTACCTGAGTGAATACAATTCTCATCATTTTACTAACTTACTGTTTGAATCTAAAACCCTAAACTCGGACACTTTTCCCCCTCATGACTCCCAAGTTAAAAGCTTTTTTAAAAACTTCAGTGAATCTTTCATGAATCTTTAAAAAAATAAATAGGAGTTAGTTTTATTTCAGGTTCATTTGTACCGTCTTTACTGTAGAACGGAGACAATGAATGTTTCAGCAGCTGCTGCTGTTGCTGCTGCAGTACCATGTTGAGTCACTGCAGAGAAACAAGCTTACCAAGTTCACTGCAGACAGTTACATTATTAAAATAAATCATTTTTATGTATAGTTGCTCTTGTGATAATGCAAAATAATTTACAGTTACTCTCACCTGCAGTATTTTCAGACATATCCCAGAAAAATTTTTCGTCGGAGGATTTAATCATGATTCCAAATGCAAGTGCATGAATTTACTGCATTCATTTTGTGTTTAGTGCATCACTCAATAACAGTGTCTTTTATTTCTGTTGCTGAAGCAGTGAATGCAGAGGCGTGCTCAAGGTGGGGCCATGGTCCCCCCTGGAAATTTGTTGGCCACCCCCCACATACCCCCATGTTTTTATATTTATTTTTTTTACATTAATGTTTACTGTTTACAGTGCATATTTTTTTCTTTTTTGTTTATTCTTTTTCTATCCTGCTGGACTGCTTTTTCTGCTGTTGCACCAAAATGTCCCCACTAAGGGACAATAAAGGGATTTTCTATTCTATTCTCCTCACATCTTTAACCACAAGTTTTAGTTTTCCCATTGTTATGATATTACTTAATCATTTTTAATTATTTAGTCCTTGTGTAGCACCTCGTCATTTGTACCTTTTCCTCTTCTTCTATTCTATTCTATTCTATTCTATTCTATTCTATTCTATTCTATTCTATTCTATTCTAATAAATCACATTCAGATTCACACAAGCTACCAATCCCTCTTCTTTCATCAAAACATAAATGTTAAAGCCAATAAATAAATGTATTTAAAAAAATTACTTTATTTTTAAAACCACTTTTCAAATTTATATTAATGTCACAGAAGCTCACTATTTAAAAAAGTATAATTTGTAAAATCTGTAGTTATTTTTGTTGGAACAGCAATAGGTAAATTAAACTTTTAAAATTATTTTAAAAATACATTTAAAAACTACTGAAAATATTCTTGGGAATTTTGTCTTTTATAATGTTTATGTTTATCAAATTTGAGGTAAATATGTTGGATGCATAGATCTATTGTTTTGTAACAATAAAGAATGGAGGACCAATGAAAGCTACAGGTTAAACTATCACAGAGTTACAACCAACCCCATTTGTTTGCCACTTCTAAATTCTCATTGGCCCTGTCTGGCCCCCCAATGAAAAATTACAAGAGGCGCCAATGAGTCACTGAAACAGGAGTCTATTTTTCCTGTTGTCTTATTTAAAAAATCAGACCACTGTAGGTTCTTTACCATGTTGTTAGTTAAAGGAGCATTGTGTAAGAACAAAGAAAGAATTCTTCTGTGACATAATCACAAAACAGTCTAATGTCTCAATTATGTTGGAAGAAAGGTTATTCTGAAACATATTTCATCCGGCTGTGGTGACTGTCAGTTTTTCTCCTTTCAAAATAAAAGAAAAATTAAGGTAGTTACTGCTTACCATGGGCGGTTCTCATGTCTCCTGCGAGCTAATGCTGCAGCACCGACATTTGTAATTCAACTACAGCCGACATCAATCTCCAGAATTGTTTAACCAAATTCAGTAACACACATGACCCAAAAGTTATTTCTTACCCCTAAGAGGTCACGGCATAATTTTGTTTTAATACCTAATATCAGTTAAAGATGAATAGGCCAAGCTAACAATGCTCACAGTGAATTAAAAGCAAATATCTTAAGCTATTTTTTCAATTACCAAAAACTCGAAATAACAGTGAAATATATGTATGAAGTGAAAAATTAGTCAATTGTGGCATTTTACTTTCTTAAAGGAGTCGTTCATTTCAATAACAGAAAGCTACCAGCCAGACGGAAAAAACACTTCCTCTATGCCAGAAACATTACCATAATAAGTGTAGTAAGTGCTCCCTACCATAAAACACCCAAGAGTGCCACCACCAGCTATGACAACGTATTTATCTATTTATCAGCTTTCTGTGCATGATTCGTCTTTGCTTGTCATCTAGAATATTCTGGTGCTGATCTGTAACTGCCAACAGCGATAGAGAGAGATTGCAGTAACCAAATTTGACCACAGGATGTCATTTCACTTTATTCTTTCACACTGCACCTTTAAAGTGAATTTTCTCTGTGGACGTTATTGTTGTGGACAGGTCGTGCTGTGGCAGGACACTCCCTGGCTACAGGGCACAAGCTGCCATGCCATTTGGTTGTCTCACACTCGGGGAGAAGAAGGATTACAACAGTCCCTCTGAGGTGACTGACAAGTATGACCTCGGACAAGTCGTTAAATCGTGAGTGCACCCGTTCTGACTAGCAACTCTGGTTGAATTTAATGCAAAACAAAAACAAAACAACAAACATTTCCTCTCATTTGTGTTTTGCCCCACAGAGAGGAGTTCTGTGAGATATTTCGGGCGAAGGACAGGAACACCTTGAAAATGTACACATGTAAAAAGTTCCACAAAAAGGACGGGAGGAAAGTGAGGAAAGCTGCCAAGAATGAGATAATGATCTTAAAGATGTGAGTAAAATGTTCAGCTCCTTGGAGCGCTGTTCTTGTGTGGAGAAGGACGTGGTGACAAGCGAGCTGTGAAAGAAAATAAAGGCAAGCTGTGTTGAAAAAAATAAAAATGGATGGTAATAAAGTGGACATTTACACACATCTGATCTGATGAGACAGGAGGGATTTGTTTCTGTCCTCTTTTGTTTTCATAATCCTGACTTTGCTTTTTCATAAGAAAAAATAATTTCACACCTTTCTGTTTCACGCTTCTTTAGAATTTTATTTTTTTATTTTGATTCGTAAGTCACTTACTTCACTATTGCACTGATTTCCTTGCAGTAAAAACATATTTGATCAAGAAACCTGCAGCTAAAATCCATGTAGAGTCACCTAAGGTTGCACTAAAGAGTAATAAATCAGCTGGATAGCTGCATCTGGATTTGTGTTAGTGCTGTTGCCTCATTCCTACATCTCTCACCATGTACTGCTACTAATGCATCTGTCTGTTTAAAGGGTAAAACATCACAACATCCTCCAGCTTGTTGATGCATTTGAAACTAAGAAAGAGTACTTCATCTTCCTGGAGCTGTGAGTGCTGCCGAGGCTTGGTTTGGCTATGGTTTGTCATCAACAGATCATAACAGATGTGTGTGAATGTCTCATTTTGTCAGAGCGACAGGAAGGGAGGTCTTTGACTGGATCTTGGATCAAGGCTACTACTCTGAGAGGGACACCAGCAATGTCATGAGGCAGGTACTGGAGGCTGTAGCTTACCTGCACTCTCAGAAAATCGTCCACAGAAACCTTAAGGTATGTTGTGCTGTTGACACCTAGTGGAAAACAAAAGAATTTCATCAAATGAAGGGGAAGAAGTCCAAGCAGCAGAAGGAAATACCTCCATGGTCTTTTACAGTCACTTGCTATTTAACACGCATTGTGTTGAAAAGGATTTGGCTCATCTAATCACTAAATTGTTGCAGGAGTAAGTCTTCACGTTATAAAATGACTCCGTGCAATCAGCTGGGTTCCTTATATAGGAACCTTTTAATTAACTGGCATAATGAACTGAACTCAATTGGATTGTTCACTTAGTGAAGTGCCTTGAGACGACTCTTGTCATGATTTGGCGCTTTATAAATAAACTGAATTTAATTAAAAATAAACATTTCTTTCTGCATCTTTGACTTTGTGTTTTATGTACAACTGAATCAGGGTATAGATGTGCAAAACAACTTTTGGTTTTGTAACAAACACACAAATAAAAGCTATGGGATTTAAATGATTGTAAATAGTTTATACTAAGGGTGTATTTTGGAAAGAATCTGCCGATATAATATTTAAGGCAGATGGCCTGTATTTCTATAGCACCTTCCTAGGGTTCTACAAGCCCCCAAGGTGGTTCACAACACAGTCACCCACCTATTCACACACATTCAACACTGACAGAGGTGAGGCCTGCTGAACACCGGCTCTCTCTGACCACCACCAGCAGATACAACAGCAGCATTCTCTGCCTCTGTATCACTATACAGGCAAAACAATACGGTACTAAAAGCCAAATGACAATTTTCAACCTTTAAGATAGAATTTGATTGGAAAGTTCAGGCCAAATAGCCTGGGCAGCCATCCTATATCTGTGGATATATAGTCTGGCCACGGCCCATTGACTGCTCTCAGTTGTGGGGCGGAATCTAACTCTCTCTGCATGCTATTGCACTACAACAAACGTGACATAGTCACCGCTACGGATGTCAGCCAACGGGGTAGTCCACCGTATACTGTCGAAGGAGACACAAATACATAGTTTTCTAAATAAAGGACTGAATTACGTCTATCTGCTGTTGACTCAAAGACAAACCCAAGTCTAAATGGTCCAAAGCTGATGCCAAAGCTGTTTGAAACCCACCAACCCAATAGAGTGCTGTGACTGGCACACCAAACTCAAAGAGCACTGTGATTGGCCAGCCACCAGACTGGCTGCGGCTGCGGAGGTTCCTATGGCGCGTGGTTAGACTGACATTTAGAGCTAAATCATTTTGTTTCGGCAACCAATGGTTTAGATTTCTACAGGACAGATGCTTCCAAGATAAATCCAGTGTTACTTACTCCATCAGAAAGAAGGTGGCAAAAACTGCTGCCACCTAGCAGTCGGAGCTTGAATTGCATCAAACAAACAAAAAATAAACATACTGTAAATGTTTGCATGTAAATTCTCAGTTAAATCGTCCATATTATGGATTCAGTATTATAACGCAAAACATAGCAATATTTCAACATATTGATATTTTCTTACATCTCTACTTTAGACTAACTGGTATTTCTATATTACATGCAGCTGGAGAACTTGGTGTACTATAATCGTTTGAAGAACTCCAAAATTGTTATCAGTGACTTTCAGCTGGCAAAGCTGGAAAACGGGCTCATCAGGGACCCGTGTGGGACTCCAGAATACCTTGGTGAGTGACTTTCTCAGTCCGTTGATACATTTCTTTAACCATTTTACTAGTTGTATATTGTATCTTTAACAATATTATTTATTTATTCATTGTGATTTACATTTGTTATGTACTGTGTTGGGCTCCCTGACTCGCGGAAGGTGCTTTGTGAATAAAGCTTTGAATTTCAACTGAACTGAATTTAAAAACAATAATACTTATTTAGTGAAATATGCTCTTTGCTTTGTAGCTCCTGAAATGGTGGGAAGGCAGAGATATGGAAGACCTGTGGACTGTTGGGCAATTGGCGTCATCATGTACATACTGTAAGAACTCGCTGATATATTAATTTAACCAATGAATGTCACTTTGTGTTTTCCCTAAAAATTGTTATGTCATTTTCCTGATAGTTTATCCGGGAATCCTCCTTTCTACGATGACTCTGATGAAGACGAGTCGGATCGTGATAAAAATTTGTTTCTGAAGATTTTGTCTGGTGACTATGAGTTTGACTCCCCATACTGGGATGATATTTCAGACTCTGGTAAGTGATGTTCACTGGTTATAGGTGAACGTTCATGCATCATAAATTAATCAATATTACATTTTATTTTAACCTATTTTAAAGCCAAGAACTTAGTGGCATCGTTGATGGATGTTGACCAAGACCAGCGTTTGACCGCACAGGAAGCTATTGCCCATGAATGGTAAAATAAATAACTAAATAATAAATGTCTGCTCTAAGAAAGTTTGAGTAGATAATTTTGCTGACTGCAAGCTAAGAAGAAACTCATTAATTTGTTCATTTTATTTTAGGATTTCTGGAAACGCCGCCTCAGACAAGAATATCAAAGATGGCGTTTGTGCACAAATTGAAAAGAACTTTGCAAAAGCCAAATGGAAGGTACAACTTCTGACATACTCATAAAACTGTATAATATTCTTTATTATTCAACAATTCTATCAACTAAAAAATCTGAGATTAGCATCATGTTGATTGCTGTTATTAAAGCAATTATTTGATAGTCTCTGAAAATGCTTCCCATGTTTTTACTGAAAGTACTCATTTATAAAGTTTAAAGGGGACATAATATTATGCTAAATACACCTTTTGCATCCTTTTGTGCTACCATGTAGGTCTCTACCACCTCTATAAACACTCCAAGTGTGGAAAAAGCCCATTCATCCTTTTTTTTTTCCTTTCAGTGTATGGGATTTATGTGCCCAAAACAAGATGTTTCAAAAAATTCCTGTGTGTAATGTCACAAATGGGAAAATTAAAATAGAACCACATCTCACGTGCAAGAGAGAGCTGCTGGAGGAGCAGGGGGCTCTGCTTTAAACCCCTTCTGCATATTGGAGCTCCTGAGCTTATAGCAGCCTGAGTGGGGGGTGGGTGTGCATGGCCTATTCTAGTTTATTTTCTTAAAGTGAGTCCTGAAACAGCTCATTATGGAAGGTACTAAAACTCTCAAGAAGAAAACTGCTGAACTTGCTTTATGTGAGAGGGATTTTGTGCAAAGGTCATGAACATGTTATGTATAGAAAGTAAAACTATAACTTCAAGAAAAAAAGTCATAAATTGTTCCTTTTGACGAATAAAAAATATGTTATATGTTACCCACAGAAAGCTGTAAGAGTGACTACCCTGATGAAAAGGCTTCGAGCATCTGATCAGGGTGAACCGGGAGCTGCTGGTGCCTCTGCAGGGGCTGCAGGTGACCCCGACACACCTGGAGGAGCTCCTGCTCCTCCTGCTGGTGGAGGCAGCAGTTTGGCTGCAGCCTTAAAAGCTGCTGCTCTGAAAGAAAAGGCTTCTGACACACAGACTGCAGCCACCCCTGCACCATCTCTGCAAGCTGCTGTCCCACAGGATGACCAGCAGCAGCAGCAGCAGCAGCAGCAGGCACGGTGCAACGGAGATACCCCACAAATGTTGCCACAAAGTAAAGAAGAATAAGCATTGATGAAAAAGCACAAACAGGACCCATGAGAACCAACAAGCACATGTACAGCGATTAAATTTGGCATCATGATTTTCTCTCTCTCTCTCTCTCTCTCTCTCTCTCTCTCTCTCTCTCTCTCTCTCTCTCTCTCTCTCTCTCTCTCTCTCGTTGTAAAGTAGCTTTTTTGTGGGTTTCCTATTCCATGAAAACTTTACATTAATATTTTATTGCTCATGGTGTAATTTATTGAAACAAATCTTTTCCATTCATCCCCTCACTGTATATACATGTATTTTTCTCAAAAAAATGCTACTTTTTAGCTTTAGAGTTTAGAAATTTGATTTTATCTCTTGTGACTTAAAATTACGAGTTGGAAAAATATGTAATTTGATCAAATTATTGTTTATCTTAAACATACAGTATATATGCATCAATTTATAGTGTTTTGAGCATATTTGAGTTAAATCTTTGCTCAAGAATGAATTATACATAAGGACAGTCTTGCTTGGTGCATATTTTTGATTTGACGACAAGTTTTTAAAGAAATATTTATAAGTGAGATATTTAATGTAACACTGTAAGTTTGGAGCTGTGTTTATGACTTTAGTCAACTTAGAATTTTAAGACAACAAGAAAGCCATTTTTAAGTTAAAGTGCCTTAACATTTGTTGCAGCCATGTTTCTAGACTTAATTTCAAAAGCTTTCTTAAGAATTTTAGCTGTTTTTTCTTATTAAATTTTAGGTCTTCAGTTGATGTATTGATTCTTGTATTTCTGTCTTCTTTCTGACTTCATTTAAAACAAACATTTTGAATGTTCTGTGTGCTGTGACGTTTTAGCTGTTGCTGTGTCGTAGCCTGTAATTAATAAATGAAGAGTTTATTGTAGTCTATACACTGTACGATCATGTATATTTACATTGTGTGTGTACTTGTGTATTTTTTATTGTTTGTGTATTTAGCAACATTTAGCTGAGCAGAAAGGTCACTATGTTGCTTGTGAATGAATAAAACAAGCAATATCATGATCACGTTTTTTTTCCTTTGTCGATGCAAAACACACTCAAGTTAGTTTTTCTAAAAAAGAAAAGACAAAGCAATACATTTAAGTGAATTTATAAATATTTAGGTTGTCGTAATGCATGTGATAGAACAAAACATCAGTAAGTAGTTTGGTTTAGTAGTAGTGTGACTAAAATCATAATAAAAAGCAAAAAAATTCCACTTTTCAAGGCACTCGAGGAGTACAGATGCTTCTCTCTTTCGCTCCCTTATATTTTTTTTCCCAAGGCTCTTTGTCCTGTCTGCCCACAGAGCGCTTCTCTGCATTTCTTCTGAAAAACTCCATTTTTACTAACCATAGATTTGATAAACTGGTCATTCAATGCGATTGATAAGATTTTTTTCAACAATGAGAACGGAGCAGGGGGCTCCCACATGTCCACAGGGGACACACCTGGTGGGATATATGTTGGATTCCTGGAAGGTGGAAGATCATATGCCTCTGCCAGTTGTCCATTGAGGATATCGAAGATGTGTGGATATTCGGCCTGATGATTACTGGATTTCTCCTGATTGGAGTGGGAGGATATCTGGTTTTCTTGAAATCTGGGAAGACGGGAGCGATTGGATGGCGACCCGCACCGTCCATGCGGAGACTTCTCAGACTGGGACGTTACTTTTAGGTGAATCGTAAGCTGGACAATGTTCTAGCTGCGATACCGGTATTAGTGTGCAAACTGAATGTCATCTCGGAGAGAGTCACCGGACGGTATGGACAAGCTTAAAACCCAAAATTGGCTTCACTGAAGGACTGGAAATTATCAGTTTAAAGACTGAAGGCAGAGAGGAAAATTATCTCAGCCTGACCCAAACAAATTCTTGTTATCTGAATCTGACGCAATGGCATCAATCTGTAGGAGTCAATGTACTCTTTGCTTCTCCCAAGATCTCCCTCCCACCCGTGACTGTACAGTAGATGAGCGCTGTAGATGGCTGCTCTCGCTGGGGGAAACAGGATCCCCCTTCCTATTGGAGTCTCATGTTTGTGTAATGTCTGAAGTCTGTTGCATTTTTGAGCTAGTTCTAAAATGCCTTTTTTCCCCTCCACCTGAACCAACCCTCATGTAAACCCCTCTTATCTCTATTAAGGTAGCGCGATTCATGGTTGCGAATGACTACAGTCACCAATTATTGTCATGTGTCTTGCCCAAATATGTCTGATCTCTGAATTGTGTGTACTGAAACTCTAATTTCCCTCTGGGATTAATAAAGTATCTTTGATTTGATTTGATTTGATTGCTAAGTGAAAATAATCCACATTAAGACAGGAAATTGTGTTTATAAATGTGCAGGAAGACAACATTTCAGTCCATTCAGTCCGGGATGATGAGCGACACCAGTATTGTATGATCACGGGTTTGTGTAATTCAGCTCAACCAGAAATGTAATGTTACAAACACTGCTCCACAATGGTCTACTTACTTTATTCAGCTTGCATGTTTTAACCATGAGATGAATTTAGTTTGGATGACATGATTGTTTTGATCCACACATATAGCTTTGAATTAATTAATCACAAAAAAATAAATAAATAAAAGACTTTTCATAATCTTTTGAAATGCTTTCACAAGATTCTGGCTGGATACATAAACAGCATGGTTTATTATTATATAGACTGATGAGGGTTACTTGACCTCTCACCATCTGACTTCTGGAGATGGGCAGAAGCTCCCTGAGATCCAAGAAGGTGAAAGAGAAAATGGATAAACGGATCCTTCCATCCATCCATCCATCCATCCATCCATCCAGTTTCATCTGCTTATCCGGAGTCGGGTCGCGGGGGCAGTAACCTAAGGTGAGAGGCCCAGACTTCCCTCTCCCCAGCCACTTGGGCCAGCTCCTCTGGGGGAATCCCAAGGCGTTCCCTGGCCAGGTGAGAGACAAAGTCCCTCCACCGTGTCCTGGGTCTACCTTTAGGTATCCAGTTGGACGTGCCAGGAAAACCTCACCAGGGAGGCGTCCAGGAGGCATCCTGACCGGATGCACGAGCCACCTCAACTGGCTCCTCTCGATGTGGAGGAGCAGTGGGTCTACTCCGAGCTCCTCCCGAATGACCGAGCTTCTCACCCTATCTCTAAGAGAGAGCCCAGCCACTCTTCGGAGAAAACTCATTTTGGCCGCTTGTATCAGCAATCTCGTTCTTTCGGTCACTACCCAAAGCTCATTAACCATGGGTGAGGGTAGGAACGTAGATCGACAGGTAAATCGAGAGCTTCGCCTTCTGACTCAGGTCTCTCTTCACCACGACAGACCGGTTAAACGCCCGCATCACTGCAGATGCAGCACCAATCCACCTATCGATCTCACGCTCCAGTTTTCCCTCACTCGTGAACAAGACCCCGAGATACTTAAACTCTTCCACTTGGGACTGGACCTCATCCCTGACCCGGAGAAGGCATTCTACCCTTTTCCGAATCAAGACCATGGTCTCAGATTTAGTGGAGCTGATTCTCATCCCAGCTGCTGCACACTCGGCTGCGAACCGCTCCAGCGAAAGCTGAAGATCACGTTCTGATGAAGCCACCAGGACCACATCATCTGCAAAAAGCAGAGACCTGATCCTCAGGCCACCAAAATGGATGCCCTCCACACCTTGGCTGCACCTAGAAATCCTGTCCATAAAGGTTATGAACAGAATCGGTGACAAAGGGCAGCCTTGGCGGAGTCCAACTCTCACTGGGAACGAGCCCGACTTACTGCCGGCAATGTGGACCAAGCTCTGACGCCGGTCGTACAGGGACCTAACAGCCCATATCAGAGGACCTGGTATCCCATACTCCCGGAGTACCCCCTCACAGGGCCCCCAGAGGGACGTAGTCAAATACCTTCTCCAAATCCACAAAGCACATGTAGACTGGTTGGGCAAATTCCCACGCACCCTCCAGGATCCCCCTAAGGGTATAGAGCTGGTCCAGTGTTCCACGGCCAGGACGAAAACCACATTGCTCCTCCTGAATCTGAGGTTCAACAATCCGACAGACCCTTCACTCCAGAACCCCTGAATAGACCTTACCAGGAAGGCTCAGGAGTGTGATCCCCCTGTAGTTGGAACACACCCTGCAGTCCCCCTTTTTAAATAAGGGGACCACCACCCCGGTCTGCCAGTCCAGTGGGACTGCCCCTGATGTCCACGCAATATTGTAGAGCCACATCAGCCAACACAGCCCCACAACATCCAGAGCCATAAGGAACTCCGGGCGGATCTTATCCACCCCTGGAGCCTTGCCACAGAGGAGCTTTTTAACCACCTCAGTGACCTCAGCATCAGAGATTCGAGAGGCTAAGCCAAAGTCCCCAGACTCTGCTTCCTCACTGGAAGATGTGTCAGTGGGATTGAGGAGATCTTCAAAGTATTCTGCCCACCGATCCACAACGTCCTGAGTGGAGGTCAGCAGCACACCGTCCCCACTATAGATAGTGTTGGTAGTCCCACAGGCCAAAAAGACCTAATAGGACTCTTTCTTCATCTTGGCAGCATCCCTAACCGCCGGTGTCCAGCGGGTTCGGGGGTCACCACCACGACAGGCACCGACGATCCTGCGACCACAGCTCCAGTCGGCCGCCTCAACAATGGAGGCACGGAACAGGGTCCATTCAGACTCAGTGTCCCCCGCCTCCCCCGGAACATTTTAGAAGTTCTGTCGGAGGTGGGAATTGAAGCTCCTTCTGACAGGAGACTGCCAGATGTTCCCAGCAGACCCTTGCGATACGTTTGGGCCTGCCTGGTCTGACCGGCATCCTCCCCCACCATCTGAGCCAACTCACCACCAGGTAGTGGTCAGTTGACAGCTCCGCCCCTCTCTTCACCCGAGTGTCCAAGACATGCGGCCACAGGTCACATGGAACAACAAAGTCGATCATCGAGCTGCGGCCTAAGGTATCCTGGTGCCAAGAGCACATATGGACACCTTTATGTCTGAACATGGTGTTCATTGTGGACAATCCATGACTGGCACAGAAGTCCAATAACAAAACACCACTCAAATTCAGATCGAATTCAGGGAGCCGTTCCTGCCAACCACACCTCTCCAGGTCTCACTGTCGTTGCCCACGTGAGCATTAAAGTCCCCCAGCAGAACGAAGGAGTCACCGGAAGGAGTGCTTTCCAGCACCCCCTCCCAGGTCTCCAAAAAGGGTGAGTAGTCTGAACTGTAGTTTGGTTCATAAGCACAGATCACAGTCAGAACCCGTCCCCCCACACGTAGGCGGAGGGAGGCTACCCTCTCATTCACTGGGGTAAACCCCAACGTACAGGCACCAAGATGGGGGGCAACTAGTATGCCCACCCCTGCTCGGCGCCTCTCAGTGGGAGCAACTCCAGAGTGGTAGAAAGTCCAACCCCTCTCAAAGAAACTGGTTCCAGAGCCAGAGCCATGCGTTGAGGTGAGTCCGACTATATCTAGTCTGAACCTCTCAACCTCACACACCAACTCAGGCTCCTTCCCCACCAGAGAGGTGACATTCCATGTGCCAAGAGCCAGCTTCTGTAGCCGAGGATCAGACCGCCAAGGTCCCCGCCTTCGACTACGACCCTTCACACACTGCACCCGACCCCTTTGGCCCCACCCACGAGTGGTGAGTCCATGGGAAGGGGGACCCACGTTTCCTCTTTGGGCTGTGACCGGCCGGGCTCCATGGGTGAAAGCCCGGCCACCAGGTGCTCGCCAACGTGCCCCACCTCCAGGCCTGGCTCCAGAGGGGGTTCCCGGTGACCCACGTCCAGGTGAGTTAACACGGTTTCCATTTATATAATTCATCATAAGAGGATAAATGGATGTATTAAGAAAATCAAACAAAAAGTTTCATATCATACCATAGAAAAGGGCAGGGAAACTGTGGTACTGTCATAGAAAGAGGAAAGAGAAACAGAATCCAGTATTACCACTTGAGTTCAGACAAGCTCAAACTCTTGAGATTTTTTAAATAAAACTAAAGGCACATTTTTATGCTTTGGCATTTTTACAAAGCTTGGAGTAATGTACAGTTGTGTACGTGCAAAATTTATGTTTTCCTTGTGAACCAGTTGTTCAGTGTGTATTAATGTGGCACTTATTAATTTTTTTACTTTTTATTTTTATTTTTTACTTTTACTTTTACTGTATTTATACCTCTAGTCTGTACAGCACTCTGGGCATCAGTTAATGTAGACCAGGGGTGGGCAATTATTTTTTCCATGGGGCCACATGAGAAATAGAAAATATTGTGGAGGGCCAGGCCAAAAGGCTGAAGTCAATTATGCATAATATTAATGGTATTTCTTTATAAAAAGCAGTAAATACCATTGTTTCTTCAAGCTGGTAAGAGTAGACTATATGTTATAAATGAGCAAAAAGGAAAAAGTGAGGTTGTCTTACAAAAATGTGATTTATTCAAATTTCCCAAGGCAATGGTAAACAAAGTGTGCACATTTGGTTTTTGTTAAACATTTGTGACTTATATTAGTTAACAGTTTCAGTCACATTCACTCCAAAACACATTCTGAGTTTCAAATATTGTTGGAAAGAGGTTCTTAGCATTCTACAGACACACAGTATTGTCTGTAAAATAAAATCACTGAACTGTGATCTTGAGAAAGAGGTTTAAAAAAAGTGTCCCAGTTCACTGCTAGTTGCCTACATTTGTGGTCCAAACACCTTATTTTGTGTTTTTAAGTGATTTTTTTCTTATTCAGTGAGAGAAATCTAGTCTCTGCTGGGCTTTAACGAGTGCATCAAAGTCAGGTTGAATGTCTGAGGTGGAGAAGCGAAGCACAGCTGACAAATGATCATCAGTGAGAGAGGATCTATACCTGGATTTTGTAAACTTCATCATTGAAAATGTTTGTTCACAAATGTAGGTAGAGCTGAAGAGAACCAACATCTTCTGAGCATGTCTCTTCAGGTTTGGAAAGTCCTCCTAAAGCCGGGCGTACACTGTGCGACTTTTTCACTTTTTTGAGCCGATTTTCCAGTCGTGCGAGAAGCCACGACATCGGGGCGAGTTTTGCGCCGAGCGGTCGTGTAGTGTACAGGGGGTTACGAGAGGCGATTAACACCACGTGACCAGCCGCCGATCAGCAGTCGTGAGGTCGCAGGGACTTCTGGTGTGTTTAATATTTCGCTCGTCCCTCGTGAGGGTATCGCACTGTTGAAGCGGCGCTGCGAGCAGCTGCGAGCAGCTACGATCCAAAAAGTATCAGAACCGCTCACGGCGCATGCGCGCGCAATCCTGCATCAACGCCGGCCGGTCGCTCGCTATTTCCCTAATAACACACGCTGTTCGTTTTTGTTTCTACACGTTTTTTTACTCACAAAGATTGTCAAGAAAGCGTGTTTGTCGTGTTCATGTCAAATTAAACTGATCATAAAACACAGATTCACTTTCTTTATTTCGTTTTCCTCATCCAACCCCCATAAATCCCTGTGTGTCCTCCTGCAGCTCTCCCGAAGGACAACAGGCAAGACAAAAAAGTCTGACGTGTTGTGTAAAAACTGCTATTTTTAGCACATTTTAGGGCCGACGTGTTGCTACCAGACGTACAGTGTGAGCAGTCAGGTCGCATGCGAGAATTGGGTCGTACAGTGTGAGCACACGACTCGTGAGATCTGCTCTGCGAGGAAGTCGTACAGTTTGAGCTGAAGCTGAACGCTGCCGGCTTTAGAGAAGAGTAGAAATCCAGCAGAGATCCTGAATCTCTGCTTTCAAGTCCCAAACCCTCTTCAGCACTTTCCCCAGGCTGAGCCATCTGACAGCTGTGTGGAGTCCTCCAAAAGAGCCACAAACTGTCTGTGATCCATTGCCCGCGCCCTGATGAAGTTTATTATTTTAGTAACAACATCAGTAACATGGTTGATTTTTAGCACTGACTTGCACAACACATGTTGGTGTATAATTCAATGCAAAAACACCTATTTTTGATCTGCATCGATTTCTGTCACTTTATCTTGCATGCGTTTCAAAAGTCCGACATTTTTCCATGTAAAGCCGGGCGTACACTGTGCAACTTTTTCACTCGCAGCACTCAGCTTCAGCTCAAACTGTACGACTTCCTCGCAGAGCAGATCTCACGAGTCATGTGCTCACACTGTGCGACCCAGTTCTCGGATGCGACCTGACTGCTCACACTGTACGTCTGGTAGCAACACGTCGGCCCTAAAAATGTGCTAAAAATAGCCGTTTTTACTCAACACGTCAGAGTTTTTTGTCTTGTCTTGCCTGTTGTCCTTCGGGAGTGCTGCAGGAGGACACACAGGGATTTATAGGGGTTGGATGAGGAAAACGAAATAAAGAAAGTAAATCTGTGTTTTGTGATCAGTTTAATTTGACATGAACACGACAAACACGCTTTCTTGACAATCTTTGTGAGTAAAAAAAACGTGTAGAAACAAAAACGAACAGCGTGTGTTATTAGGGAAATAGCGAGCGACCGGCGTTGATGCAGGATTGCGCGCGCATGCGCCGTGAGCGGTTCTGATACTTTTTGGGTCGCAGCTGCTCGCAGCGCCGCTTCAACAGTGCGATACCCTCACGAGGGACGAGCGAAATATTAAACACACCAGAGTGCGACCTCACGACTGCTGATCGGCGGCTGGTCACGTGGTGTTAATCGCCTCTCGTAACCCCCTGTACACTACACGACCGCTCGGTGCAAAACTCGCCCCGATGTCGTGGCTTCTCGCACGACTGGAAAATCGGCTCAAAAAAGTGAAAAAGTCGCACAGTGTACGCCCGGCTTAAGATTTGGACAACCGTCTGTTGTGACACCTGACAGTCTCTCCCATTTCAATCCCAGAGTGTCCGTGCACGCATTTACCTCTGTAGAAACATCACTCCCTGTCGTTGTCCCTCTCATCGACCGCATTGCTGCCCGCTCCTCTGTGAGCTTGAAGTCCGTTATCCCCGGACAAATACGAGCAGCTGGGCTGTGTCCCGGACATCACAGCTCCCGTCTAATGAGAAAAAGTCAAAACTTGCCACTTCACGTTGCAGCTGAAGCTCCAGGTTCCCCGCAATGTCCTCGATCCTCCTGGTCACGGTTCGCCTGGACAGCGGGATTTGCTCAAATGCGCCTTTTTTTTCAGGGCATATTAGTGCGGCAGAGTCCACCATGCACTCTTTGACAAACTCTCCCTCCGAAAACGGCTTGCTGTTTTTAGCTATTTTGTGGGATATCACAAAGCTGGTCCTGGCTGCTGCATCCCTGGATGTGTGAAGCTTAGTAAAACAGCCTTGCTGCTTTTGCAACTTTGCAAGCAAAGCTTCGGATGTCCGTGCCCTCTCAGCTCTCAGCATCAGACAAGTTCTTGTATTTTTCCGAGTGTTTCTTGTCGTAATGCCGACTCAAATTGTAGTCCTTAAACACGGCAATCTCCTCCCCGCAAACCAAACACACGGCTTTACCTCCGACTTCAGAAAAAAAAATACTTAGCAGTCCAATTTTTGTTGAAAATCCTGCATTCGGCATCTTTCTTTCTTTTTTTTTTTTTTTTTGCATGAGCGGACATTTCTCAGGCTACAATCACCATGTCAACCGCGGGCACTTGTTGCTATACGTATTGCGTCATTGTGCACGTAAAAAACAACTTCAAAATAAAAGCAATGCAGCCTTAGCCCATGCATGAGGTAAAATGAGAAAATACATTTATTTTGTAATTTCCAATTAACCTTACGCGGGCCGGTCAAAGTCAACCAAAGGGCCGGATGTGGCCCGCGGGCCGTAAAATGCCCAGGTCTGATGTAGACGTTGCTATTTGAATAAAGGTTGGTGATGACGCTGAAGATACACCCCAGTCCTGCAGGGAGCAGGAGCGCGCCATGGAGCGGATTTTCCTGCTGTCAACTCAACAAAAGAAGAAGAGTCCTGCTTTCTCCGCATTGATAGTAGAAGAAAAAACACCACCCTCCATCGGAAAGTTAACCGAAAATTGGTCTTAAATAGAAAACAGACGTATATAAACAACCGAGGTGCGTTCTCTGCTATAAAACAATGCTATAGCACTAAAGTCAAAGAAACATTTAGCTAAGTTGCTAGTAAACATTTGCTGTCGTTTATTAGCTCTGATGGTTAGCGTCACGGATTATTCCCTTTTTTATTTTATGCTAACGGGGAAATGTGAGTTTCTTGAATTAAAACCCATCACCATTGTAAACATTAGTTATTTGTTGAATGGAGTTTCTGTGTAGCGTGGTCGTGTTTGACTCTTAGGTTTTCGTTGTGGCGCAGCAGGGCCTACCGCAGTTGTGGGCCGACTACGCGAACAATCTCGGTGACGTTATTCTATCTTCAGATAATCCACAATGTTTTATCGATGTTTCATTGTCTCCAATACAGAAATAATTGTATTTAGGTACACAATGTTGACGATTCGTGTCATTTAGAATTAAATCCGTGTTTACAAGCTTGAAAATGGTTTGGTGCCGCATCCTGCTACGTTCTAAACGCTAAAACATTTGATTTCTAGGAGGATTCATACCAAAATGTGGGATGGACGAGGTCGAGGACCATGGGGAAGACCTCCTTTTCGGTAAGCATGTCTTGTTTAATAATACACATACTCCAATCAAAGTCCATCCAATAAAGATTTTTTTTTCTTTAGCTACAGTTTATGTAATTATGTTTGGGGGAAAAACCTGCTTACTTAAATCTGGTTACTTTATATTTATTCAGCTGTTTTGGTTGATTCCCGTAATAGTTTTAATTTAATGCATATTTATTTTGTGTTTTGTTCTTTTCAAAATGGATTTTTTCTTTTTTTTTTCTCCCCTAATCTTCTGATGCAAACTTTTTCAGCGTTTTCTTGTCCTTCAGTTGTTTCCAAAATCTGTCGTAGTTTTCAGGTCATCTTTTGAAGTCTGTACTCTGACATGCATGTGTTAAAACGATGATCTGAAAGGGATGGAAATATAGTCAAAATTAAATAAGGAACTGAAGATATCTAGGTATATAATAGATATATCTAGTTTTTTATTTGTGAATAACACAAGTAAAGAATAATGGATTTGCAACTTGAAGAGCCAGGGTCCATTGTTATACGAGGAAAATTGTGACTTATTGCCCATCTTCTCTCTCCTGTCACATGATCTACTCTTAGCTTCACCACACCCTGGCTTTCCACTGGATGCGTATTTGTCGCATAACGTCAGTGAAATGTAATACGCAGCTAACAGCCTCCATTATAATCAATGAGTGTGTTTCCACTGAGAGTGGAGTGGTGCGTCCTGGAGGCTTCCCTGAAGCATAGCGTTGTTGCTCTGCTAAATTTATATTTGTAAATTACCTACACTTGTATAACACTTTTCTGAGGACTCAAAAGTGCTTTATGCTACAATAAATAATTCATCTATTCACATTAGAGGTGTCTGACAAAACAGATTATCACGTCCTAATCATGATTGGTTATTACAAAGATTCTGAATTAATTCATAAAGATTCTGAATCGATCCTGTCCGAAAGCCTTTCTGTAAACTGCTGTAATTCCAAGCGTCCCTGGCTGAATGCATCATCACTGGAGCCAGCGCTAGCTGTGCTGCACCGCTTTGTGTTCCTATGCTGCAATCTGCTGAAATACGACTGAGACTTACCTTTATTATTATTCTGTGTGTGAGTCAAAAAGTAACTGCCATTGTGTTTTATAATTTTTAAATTGTGTTATCCTGTTTAGTTTGTGTGTTGTTTCATGCCAACTGCACCGTGCATGATTGATGCGTGTTACGAAGAATTAGTGCCCATTATCCTTTGTGTTAAGTGATAAATGTCACTGGTTTATGTGAATACATGCTAGGGCTGAACGATCTATCGTTTTTAGACCGAAATTGTGGTTTCAAACAGCAAGATCACGTGACCGTCAAAGCTGTGGTTTTGACTGATCCAGGGTCAGTAGTGTAATTTATTATTATTTTTTTTTACATCCGGGGTTTTCCCCGTTTTATGTTCCCACACACAGCACTGCTAGAGCCGATAATGACACCATAGGTAGGGTTGGGCATCGTTTGATTTTGAACGATTCCAATTCCTCGTTTCGATTCCGGTTCCTATCTCTTTCCGATTCCGATTCTTTGAAGACATGACATGTTTAATATGAGCCAGCTAACCACAGGTCCTACTTGATGAAATAATCTTAACTTCAACATGAATTTGAACTCAGTGAACAATAACATCACCTTCATTTAGACTAAAACATGATTTGGAGAAAAAAAGAAAAAGACTTGCAGCACAACCAGCGTGTTTGTTTCTGACCACAACCAAAGTCTGGAAGAAGCCTCTGGGATGAGAGGCTAAATGTCTCCAACATATCCAGAAACGTCCAGCTGTTTTCAGCTAAACCTCTCAGGATGATCATGTCCAGGATGACTGAGAACTACACCTCCATGCTGCAGCAGCAGTCAGTCAGAACAGAAAGTGAAACTTAAAAGTAGCTGCTGTCAGTAACAGTCTAACAGATTTTAAACATTAAAACTCTCAACAGAAATAGTTCAGAAAGGACATTAAAATGTTCACAACTTTGTGTGTGATTTATTATTATTATTATTATTTATTGTGGCAGAAGCTGGTGTGGTCCACCACAGATAAGCTGCTCTAGCATGGTGACTTTAATTATTCTACAGGTTATTGTTCAGCCTTCTGATGCTCACATGTCAGACTGCTGACGCTCCGTGTGTTTTTATTTCTGCAGTGAGACAAACTCACCTCACACCATCCAGAGTTTGTTCTTTAAAGCTTCTATTAAATCCACCATGTTGCCGTCTTTTAACAAGTTTCCTCTACGCTGCAGGAGTTAAAGTTTACATCACGGAGTAAAAGTTCAGCAGACACGTTTGTTTATATCTGACCGCTGTGCGCCTGGTGGGGTGAGGGTGGACTCGGTGCTGCACCCAGACAGCTGGTGTGATCAGCTCTGAAAAGCATTGATCACAATTTGAAGATCACGTTTATTTTTTACAGAGATCGGCCACGGATTCCTCTTCCGTCGGCATTCTAGGAATCGAAATAAAAAGCGTTGAGCGATTCCGGGAAAAATGAACAGTTGGAACCGGTTCCAGTCGATGCTCGATGCCCAACCCTCACCGTAGGTGAGCCCGGGACAGAGACAGACAGACAGACTCCTCCCACATCGGAGCAGGTTCAGGCTGATTTCTTAAGCTTGGTAAATGCTTCATCAGCGCGAGTGCGGAGTTGCGCACTTTAGTTGACTTGAAAGCTCAACTTCTCTTTTAAAAATGGTTTGAATGTTTGTGATGGCACACATTAGTTCAAACAAGCTAAGGTGTCAGAATGCGTGCGTCTCTCTCACGGAACTGACGTTTTAGTGAGGAAAAACAGACGGCTTCGAAAAACGTGCAGCCAGCCTGCCTTGGTAATCCAGGGAAAACTGTGTGCATTTTTTATTGAATACATTTAAAAGCTTTTTCTACCTACAGATTTCCTCCATGCATTTTTGGAGTAGAACAAATTTTTATAAAGCACCTCTCTAGAGAAAAATCACAAGTGCAAGTTGCTTCACAAACACACTAAAAAAATAAATTAAAGATAATAATGGGAGAAAATATTAATATCTTTAACTGTTTTTATTGTATGATTAAATGGTAAATGTTAATGTGAATGATTTGTTGTACTAGATTAGAATCTAGACCATCTTTTCACTTAATCTACAGGATGGCTTGGCAGGTTAATGTTGGACCTTTGTTTGCAGAAAATCGTGAATTGAACCGAAATCGCAATTTCTGCTAGAAAAATTGCAATTCAATCTTTTCCTAAAATCGTTCAGCCCTAACACATGCTACTGAATGTTATAAAACATGTTAATTAGTTTAGGATGTTTCATATATACTGACACATTGTATTCTTTTTCCCTGCTTCTTCATACCACACACACATTTATACACACGTTCTAGTCTACACTCTAGATGACACGCTTTGTTACTAAGAGAATCGATTCTGAATCAAATCATCACCGCGAGAATCACAATTTAATTGAATCATGAGTTGTAAGATTCACATCCCTAACTCACACACACATTCACACACTGGTAGTGATGAGCTACAACGTAATCACAGCTGCCCTGGTGCACTCTGTCAGAAGAGAGGCAGGGAGCTGGGTTAGATCAAATCAAGCAACCCTTTGATTAATGGCCAACCCGCTCTACCTCTTGAGCTACTGCTGTTGGTGTCGAGCTTGGAAGTTCAGATTGGGACAGACAGGAAATCAAACATGGAAACAGTGTAAAGCATCCAGCAACTTTCAAAATAAGACCCAAAAAATTATGTGATTACTGAAATCACATGTGATCTTGCAATTCTCCTGTAATTTCATGATCTCGTGGGATCAGCTGTGTGGCACGTATTCGCTGCCGATTCGCGTCTGAATTGGAAATGGAAACAAGACTGAAGTTGCAGGAAAAATACGTCTATCACGCTATGCATCGATTGGAAAGCGCAGGTTATATGTACGGTAGTAACCACGGTCACAGTGTTAGTTCTATTTGCTGTGAATTGTCAAGAGAGAGTAATCTTGATTGACAACCTGCCCCAGTTTTAATAAAAATGTATTTTGTGCACACATTCATTTAAACCATGAGTCTAATATAGTGTTATGTATTTCAGTGGCGATCACCACAGAGGCATGTTTGGTGGCCGAGATCATCCAATGCCAGGTTTCAGAGGTAGAGATGGAATGAACATGGGTCCTCTGGGTCCCATGGGCCATATGGGCCCAGGGCATCAAGATTTCCACCCAATGGACAGGAGGAGGATGGATGGGCCACCCATGAGGGGGCGTGATATGGATTCACGAGACCTGCGAGGAAGAGAACCTAACAGAGATTTCTTTAGACCTGGAGAGGAGCCAGACTTCAGCCAGAGGAGGCAATTTGAAGTTTGCATTGGAGAAAGAATGATGGATTCCTCTGCTTTTCCAGGACCAGGAAGGGATTTAGAAGGCATGGGGGGCAGGGATATGCCTCCATGGCATCCCAATAACAGATTTTTTGACATGAGAGATAGGGAATCATTTCATCATGACATGCCACGGTTCAACCGACCTAATTTTGATGAAAGAAAAGGCTTTCCCATGAACAGAATGGAGCCCAATGATGGATTTCGAGACATTCACGACAGGCATCCACTCGATGCTGAGTGCTATGATATGAACAGACCGCCACATGAAAGGAGAATGACAGACATTGATGGAAGAGGCGGGCCACCTTTAATTCCAAGAGGTCAATTTGATTCTGATATGGATTTTAGAAGTCAACCTGGACCACCACCAGTGGAATTAAAGGATAGAGATCGGTCTCCTTTAAGATATGGAAGGAGTGATGTTCCTTCAGTAGACAGGGAAAGATTAGACATGCCCTCAGAAGTTGGTGGTCCTCAGAGTTCAGAGTTTATGGGTTCAGGAGACAGTGCAAATAAGGATGAGTATCCAGATTCAAGTGGTAGTCCTGTTATGGATTACCGATGCGGTGAGGAGATGACTCTTGCTGAAGAATGGAAGAACCGACAAAAAGAATCCTATAAAAGGATGGGAAGTGAAACTGAATCAAAATTCCCAGTAGGTTTTAGTGATGGTTCAAATAAAAGCAATCCTCCTACATTTTCTGACATAGATAAGCCATCTTTTCCTGGGAAAGATGATAGTTTCACCCATAGTGATCGTTTTCTTGCTATGGGTATTCCGCCAGTTGGCAATAAGGGTCCACAGGACCTGCTCCCAAAAGTGAGTCCCTTAACTGATTCTTTGGATAGAGAAAGTAAGCCATGGCTGGAGGATCGGGATCCAAAGTTTGTTCCGAATAGACCAAATTGTGATGAAAGATTCTCTTATCATCAAAGACAGAATGAGCCTCCACTTGGTGTACAGGACCCAGATAATCCCTTTCAAAATATGAAAGATGTCCAACTTGATCAAGTACCTTCAAGGGAAGATCTTGGAGATGGGCATAATTTCCAAAGAAGCAGTACATTACAGGCAAAAGATCAGGATTACAGGGACATAGATTACAGAACAGAGTCTGGGAGGATATTTGAATACAAACAGAAAGATCTTCAGCCACCAGAAACACTCCTCAAGGATTCTAAACCAATCACACCTCCCAAATTCACAGATTCTGGTTCCCAGGTATGTGTATGTTATATTTTTTATTCCTAGTAAATCTACAACAAATGCATTTGCATGGTTATGGTTTATGTCTTCTAACTATTCTCTGCAAGGATCAAGATTACAGAAATTCATCATTGAAGAACAAAGCTTCAAACACTATATCCGTATCTGGTATCCCAAAGACTACCATGTTGGAGCAGGTAATGAAAGAGAACAGAAGATATGTTTTTTTATTAGAGATCATTCTTGCAGGTTCTGGTCGTTGCTGTGACGTAACTGACTTGGATTTATTTGATCTCTTGTAGATTCTCAGTTCCTTTGCAGTTCGTGATGGTGTGCCAATGCAGGGGATGAAAGTCCAAAATTTCCCAGGTACGAATTAGGGTTCTTTGTGGGTACGTTTGGGGCACTCGATCGCTAACAGGTCCCTCGACGTTTCGCTATAATGACATACGTATCTTCGCCGTTTTGGTTTTTACATTCTTGGTTGCTTTTGTTGGTGATGGTGTGTGTTTGCGTGTGAACTTGTTCAGTGAAAATGAAGGGAGGGGCTTGCATTCTTCCATCATTTACAATGTCTGAATATGAGGTCATGGATGGCAGCATTATGAGGGTTCAGTACAACTTTCGAGGTGATATCTAGTGTTGGTCACAGAAGATCAGATCTATGAATTTGTCCTTTTTGGGCATTATGGAAAAGTTGTAAAACAGGAAATGGCAGCTGCCTCAATAACGCTTTGTTCATCCTGCGGTTTGGCAAAAGTCTTCTGTTTTCTTTGCTGAACGCAAGAGTATGTCTCCAAAGGCTATCTTTTTTCCTAAATATGTCAAAAAAAGCATCACAGGTACTTTCTTTGATTTGAAATAAAACGAGGTGTCTGTGGTGCCAGCCACACAAAGGTTTACTGCCAATGATCTGGGATATACGAAGACTAAGACTTGGTTTGGCAGTCAAAGCTTTTCTCTTGTGGCAAAGTTTGATACGTTGCCTCTCATTTTTAAAACTAGTAAAATAGAGAAACACAATGTTCTCCTGAAAGGTATGTGTTGCTCAAAAGATTGCTCGCATTGATCTAGGTGTTTTTACGAATGTTTTATTTTTATTTTTTATATATAAGGTTTCTGTCATTTTTGGTATTGACTAACAAAAACCCATCTGTATTTCAAATGCTGTCCCCAGGTTACAGCTACGATATGGCCTATGTGGAGTTTTTAGACCTCGATGATGCAGTCCACTTCATGGAGTCCAACAAGGTGGCCCATCCTCGTCACTCTAAGGAGGCCGTCTCTCCCATCAGGATTTCGAGGGGTTGAGAGGGCACTCAGTAGCTTGGGTTGGGAAAGAAGTCGGGAATGGGTTTAACCAAACCAATTAATTAACTTTTAAAACGTCAGATGTTGAATTTTTTTTTTTTTTTTACAATTGATCCTATTCCTTCGTAATTACCAGTTTTAGGTATTTATAAACCAAACCACCTTGGATTTCTTCAAAACATCCATTTGAATTTTGCACAAATCGAGAGCAATGGCTTATTGTGATATTGGTTGCAGTTTATATTTTTTGAAAGCACTAAACGAGAGGATTTAGCAAAACAATTGTTTTCCTTATTTTAATTTAAAAGAAAAGGAAAGAAAAAAAAGTCAAAGTTCACTCTATAGATCAGAGGCATTACCATTGACTGAGTATACATTTTCTTCAATAATGAAGTAAAATCATTGATAATGAGTTTTCATAACAAAATAATGAAGTGGCGGTTGGCTCGCAGTGTCTTTTTCGAAGTTTTCCCGTGTTTATGCCACTGCTGATTTGAACTCTACTCATCAATGTTTAAGCAGAATTTAAAAGCGGTTTTTTGCAGCATTCCTGTTAAACTAGACGGACTTCATTTCGAAGATCAAGGTAGTGCTCTGACTGAAACCCTGCATAAAATAGTCATCAGGGTTTCAAATGATCACTTTTGAAAGCAAAACTCTTAACTGTCAACTACTGACACCCAAATCCTCTTTCAAACAGCACAGCTGAAGCTGAACCTAATGCGTTTTCTTGGGTTTTCGGTGTCATCTATAGAGTACCAAAGCTCACTAGAAAAACCCAACCAGGGACAAGAGTTAAAAGTAGCACTAGCTTTACACTCCAGTGTGTCACATCAGCTGCAACTAGTTTGTACTATGTTGGATTGCAATGTCCCTGTTAAATGAAAGATTGGAATTTTGGAGGGGAGGGTGGTTGTGGTGGTGGTTTAGTTAGACCCCTTGGTACTATTGATTTGATTTGTAGCATATGTGAGCGGGAGGGGTGATTGTGGTGGCATTGCAAGCAATGCACTTCTCAAACCTGCAGTGCTGGTATCACATCGCTGAAACCGTGACACTAGCCTGCTGTGTGCAAGCACATGGACATATGGTGCTGAGCTGGTTCTGTTTGGTCAACTGTTTCTGTCATCACTAGGAATTCTTTCTCAGATGAGATGGAACTAAAGTAAGCAAAAGGCAAACGTTGTTAACTTTGGTGTTTAGGTTGGTAAACCCATCTGGATAGTATCAGAGTTTGTAGAAAATTGAGCAGTCTTTTGTTTGCTTTTAATGATTTTGACCATCCAGTTGGATTATTAGCAAAACCTTTATTTAAAAGTAACAAAAAAAAAAGTGTGTATTTGGTTAACCTTTGCATAATTTTCTTTCTTTGAATTTAGTGAAATTGGTTGTTTTGACTTTCAATCAAATGTCTTCATGTAGTTGACAGGGCTGATACCAAGGATTCACTCTTTGGTACACTTTGCTCATTTGGTTAGCTGTTGAATTTCTTGACATTGAGTGCTACTGGGGCTTTTATTTTGACAAGACTCGTCAGTGTTCTTCAGCAAAGTACTTCACTGGACTTTTTGTCTTCAATCTTTGGATATTTTTTCTGATCTATGCAAATCTTTTCAGCAATACTTCATTGAATTGTAAAGCTGCAGTGGCCTGAAACATCACAACAATTAATTTATACACAGAAGGTCTTTATGGTGTTGAGGACCTTTTCATTGTTTTTAATTCTTTCTTGAATTCAGCATTTGGGGGATTTTCTTTAGAGCCTTTTTTGGATTTCTTGCTGAAGCTTTAAAGGTCTTGTTCACTGAGAAACCATGCAATACGCGTTCTTTTTGGAATGTGATTGGCAATGCTCAGTTGCATACGCATGTTGAACGTGAAATCATTCTTCAGCCCACATTATCCGCATTAGCTGCAAAAAAGAAATGGAGAGAAAAATGTTTGTCAGAAAAGACAGACTCTTCTACGTTTCCGAGGATATTGGTATTCATGGCCTTGCCCACCTTGGCTTGCAACTGTGGTTGCTAGTAGACGCCAACTGATAGCATTAGCAACATCAACGTTGTGGAACTTGTTACGGCTTGTGTTGTATGTGGAGCTATCACCTCAAGGTTGCATTTGTTACCCAAGGAATAAGCATGAACAATGGCAGTGGAAGAGTCGCGCTATCGTCAACAAAGCAGAGGCAAGACGTTTGCACATTTGGAATATTATTAAGACCCATTATCCTGCCAGCTCCTCTGACAAATTTCTGCCCCCCTCAAATGGGAGTGGCTGAGCTTTTTTTACGCAGAAATCAACTCGGAGCATTTATTCATACAGAGATCACAGCAGATTTATAGAAAAAATGAGTGAATGAGACCTTTAACGAAGTTTACACCTTTTTTAAATGGACAGTTTTTTCAGCTAATGAGCCTCCTGGAAACGGAGTTAGCATGAATGTTGTGGCTGTCTAGCTTTGGTTGGGGATTGTGGTTTATACTTCAGCCTTTGTTGGCCGTTTTTACATGAGTCTCTTCTTTGGCTTGACGTAAGTCATCATGAAAGCTACAGGATTGTTTTATTGGCTCTAATTTATTTATTTTATTATTTTTATTCATGTAAAACCAAGGCAGCTTTATTTATGTAGCATATTTCATACATAAAGGCAGTTTAATATGCTTAATGGCTGTAGAGAGATGATACTGTAATTTCCGGACTAGAGCGCACCTCAATATAAGCCGCACCAACAAAAAAAAAAGGGTTTTTACACACACGCCTCACTCGAATACAAGCCGCAGTGCAGCAGCCACATGCAGGTCTCCGGCGTACAGCGCATGTATGGCCATAACATAATTAGACAGAAAGACGCTACACGGAGGTTTGTCGTTGTTTTAATTCAACAAAACTAATTTTAAACACGGGTGAGCACTGATACCATTCATATTTCTGGATGGTTATAAAATAAAAACAGAACTGACACGTTATTACCGGTAATTTGCATGCATGTTTAGAAGAAAAGAACAGTGCTGACACAGCATTAATAAGCCCTGGATGATAAGAAAATAAAAACTGCAAACAGAACATGCCTGGTTAGTAAATAAAACACACTTGCCTACTAGAAGAAGTAATTCGCTCTCATCTTCCTCTTGCGCACTAAAGCCATTAAAGTCCTCTTCTTCGTGCCAAGCTTACGTGTGGCAGCACTGTTCCCCTCCTTTACTGCCAGAACAATGGCCTTCAACTTAAATGCGGCAACATATGAACTCATATGTGTAGTTACCATGATGAGGAGGTATGGATTTGAAATCAATTATGTTTATGTTTATTTATTTAGCGGACGCTTTTATCCAAAGCGACTTACAATTTATAACCTATAGGGCATGTTGTGATCTGTGGGGGAAACCGGAGTACCCGGAGGAAACCCACGCACGCATGGGGAGAACACGCAACTCCACGCAGAAAGGCCGCAGCCGAGTTTCGAACCTGCGACCTTCGTGCTGCGAGGCAACAGTGCTAACCACTGCGCCACCATGCAGCCAATTCTTCGTCATGCCGGCTGCTTGCATGTGCTAAATTAAAATGAGCATTTTCTTCGATTTCCACTTTTGACTTCCACCTGTTTCACTTTCTGCTAAAGCGCCCCTGGCAGGTGAAGGAAAATCTTCAGTAAAACCGCACCTCATTATAAGCCGCATGGTTCAAAGCGTGGGAAAACAGTAGCGGCTGATAGTCCGGAAAGTACGGTAATTGTCTAATTTTTATTAAACAATTGTTTTTTGAAGAAATATTAAACTACTATTAGACATACAGCTTATGGATGTAAAATACAACTACCAGCAAATACAGAGCTATAGGGAGCCAAAGTCACGCCTATCTACTTCTGGTTCACAGGTCCCTAAAAGAATGAAAAAATGAATGCAAGTCAATGGAGCTAAAAACGCTCTTTTCTAATCTTGTTTGTTATGCGCAAAGGATTTCACATATCATGTCCATGAATTTTAAAGACGCATTCTGATGCCATGAAAGTGCTTATCTTCGAACGAGGGGAAACGTTATTTTAGGTTTTCAATGAAAATAAGTCCAGAACTACAAATGTGCATCACCAAATTGTCGTCATTGAACCAGAAATGGAGAAAAGCAGAGGAAAAATGGCTGTACATTTAGCATACTCCAAATCCTTCGTTCAGGAGGAAAGAGCCACCATAAATCTGGCTTTGTGGTAAGTAGCAGCTACGCTAGGGCAGAGGAGATTCTGTGGTGACGTCATGTATATGCAATGTGCACACATCAGATTTGTAGTCATGCTAATTAATGAACTTTTACAAACTGATAAATCTCAAAGTACGTGACTGGTGTGGTCGAAACACACATCATTACTTTTCATTTAAATTGAAGTACAACATTTGTGTGATTCAGGTCGTAGAAAGGGAAGAGATTAGAAAATAACTCTCTTAGCCCCATTGAATTTCATTCATTTATTTGTTCTTCCAGGGACCCATGAGCCGACCGGAAAGGGAGGAGACTTGGGTTCCCTATTGTTTTTTAGGTTTTTATTTATTTATTTTATTTTATTTTTTGCATAAATGCGGTCAAGTGGATATTCACAATGGGGCTGTTTGGATTATACTCAATATGTTAAGAATGCAAATCTGTGGCTTTATTAAGTTGATACTTTTTTATTTTCAAGATTCAAATCTAGATTAAAGTCTTTCTAACACTGCAGTTAGTCTAAAAGCTTTTGAACTGATAGCAGAAAATAAATTAACTCACAAAAACAACTTTTTCTCTCTTTCTAGTTTAGCTTTTCGGTTCAGGATTCGCTCTTTTTTTCTTTTGTTCTTGGCTTCACAAAAAAGCACCTTCGGTCTTTAGCTAGCGGGAAGTTTTCACAGTCGCCTGACACAGAAAAAACCAGACGGTTATTTGATTGTTCAAAGCAATAATTTCCAGTTGAACTAAAAAACATACCTTTGCCCAAAAAAACCAGCAACTTCCCTGAAACCATTTTAGAGTGGAGGCAAAGAGCCAATCTTCGTCTCTGACGCGGAGTTTGAACACTATCTTGAGTACCGGGCGTTAGGAGGAGGGATAAACCCGCCTTAGTGCATGGTTGATGATGTGAGTGGTATTATTCTAACGGGGTCACTGAGGGGGAACACTGCTAACCGGTGCTTTTTGTTGTCTTTTTTTTTTTTTCAGGGTTCCCTGAAGCTTGGCACTAGAACAGCTTCCATGAAGTATGTGCAGCCAGATGAGTGTAAAAGAGATGTTCATGTGAGTGTGATGCCAGAAAATGATTATTTTTATTTAAAAATTGCACATCACTACTTTTAAACTATAACTGGGTGATATAGGGGTTAAAACAACCGGTTAAAACGAAATATCGGAAATTATCTGTATTGTTTTTTCCTCCTAATGACAACTTTTACATCAAACTCCTCAGTTACTTCTCTCACTAAAGATGTTTTTGTTTGCTTAGTACTACTGGCCTAACTTCAGTTGCAGTATTTGTAATAATTTGCACCGATAATGTTTATAGTTTGACCTAGGGCTGCTCAATTAATCGAATGTTAATCCCAATTACGATCTGAGTTTTGAACGATTATAAAAACAAAACAAGCCGATTATTTGCTCCTCCCACTTGCGCTGCCCTGAGTTGCAAATGAAGCGCTCCTCCTACAGTGTTGCCAACTTTGCGACTTTGTCGCTCTTTCTAACAGCTTTTCAGACCCCCTTCTTGACTTTTTAAATCTTAAAAGTACCTAGCGAACACCTCAGAAACATCTCTGGTAACCCTTAGCTACTTACTGGATAACTGTCGTTAACATACCCTGCAGGTTAGCTAAACACTCCGCCTGCGCTCCGGACCGTTCTTCAGGACATTAGGAAAGGGAATGATGTAGTGATGTGTCAGTCGCTAAAGAAACGGCTCTCAGAGTCGGCTCCCTATTGGATTAACCAGATTGAGTGCCACACACCGTATCTGCGGACCCCTGAGTCGCTAAAAACAGCTAAATGTGCGTGTGCGGCGCGCTAAACACACATGCAGCTTGCCCCTGATTGCTGTGAGACCGGTGTTGTGCCAAAAAGCGAGTGGCTGCCAAAAAATGATTAACCACAGCGGGATCGCGCACGGTTAGGGTAATTGCAGTTCTAGACGAAATTCCCCGGAATTTCGCCTTAAAACTCAGCATATCTAGCAATATGGACATTGAGAAAGCAGAGATAACCTCGTCCGGTACTTAAACAGATGTTTATCGCGGATATTAGTTTTTTTCCAGTTCGGAAGTTGTTTTAAGTGTTGCTATTTGTCTTAAACGTTCACAATGAGCATATATGAATCCTTTTTGTAATATTTGCGATTGAAAGATGCTTTGTGGTAAGAACTGGCTTTCTTTATGTTACAGCCTTGATACAAAAAATAAATAAACATTGTAAAATGGCACCCTGTATTGAATGTAAAGTCAAACGTTGTATAAATGGAATTAAACAATTCTCCAGCAATTTGATTTTTTCCCCCTTCCTTTCTTTAGTCCACTTGACATGGAGCCACAGTTAACTAGTTTGGGGCACATTTTTACTTGAAAAATAATATTTAAACTGATCAAGCTTTGGCTTTACAATGACACTGTTTAGGTTACTATCTATACATTACTTTGCTCTATTTAAAAGTAACAAGATAAAAGCACTTCAGCACATCAAATTAAGATTGTCACTTGCCAAATAGTGACTATACCCTCCTGTTTACCTGTAAGAAAGGCCTAAAAATATCTTGAAATTCTTTATTGATAATTTAATTAGACAACAAAAATGGCATTTTACTTGCCAAAAAGTGATTGAATCGCTCAGTTTTTCATGGAGGATAAAATTGACCAAATAAGGGTTTTATGTATTATCTGTTGATGTTACTGTACTCATACTGTCTACTGTATCATCATAAACACCCCCAAAATGGCAAAAAAAGATAATTTCCCTTGCCAAAAATTGATTACAGTGTCCTGGTCACCTGTAAAGGGTTAAATTGACCCAAATATTACTTTGTTTACTATCTCTTGATGTTATTAGTCCCATCACAGGATGCTGGGTCTCTCCCACATTCATAAACACCCCAAAAATGGCAATGATCATTTCCCTTGCCAAAAATTGATTACAGTGTCCTGGTCACCTGTCACATTCTTCTTCAGGCACTCGAGGAGTACAGACGCTTCCTTATCTTTTTTTTCCCAAGTCTCTTTGTGCTGTCTGCCCACAGAGCGCTTCTCTGCATTTCTTAAAAAAAAAAACTATTTTTACTAACCATGGATTTGATATACTGATCATTCAATGCGATTGATAAGATTTTTTCAACAATGAGAACGTAGCAGGGGGCTACCACATGTCCACAGGGGACGCACCCGTTGGGATATATGTTGGATTCCTGGAAGGTGGAAGATCATATGCCTCTGCCAGTTGTCCATTGAGGATGTCGAAGACGTGTGGATATTTGGTCTGATGATCGCTGGATTTCTCCTGATTGGAGTGGGAGGATATCTGGTTTTCTGGAAATTTGGGAAGACTGGAGCGATTGGAGGGCGACCTGCACCCACGGAAAGCACCGTCCGTGTGGAGACTTCTCAGACTGGGACGTTACTCGAGGTGAATCGTAAGCTGGACAATGTTCTAGCTGCGATACCGGTATTAGTGCGCAAAATGGATGTCATCTCGGAGAGAGTCACCGGACGGTATGGATAAGTTTAAAAACCCAAAATTGGCTTCACTGAAGGACTGGAAATGATCAGTTTAAAGACTGAATGCAGAGAGGAAAATTATCTCAGCCTGACCCAAACAAATTCTTGTTATCTGAATCTGATGCCCTGGTAGCCTTGAGCTGCAAGCAACTAAAACCCCCCACAAAGGAATGTAGACAGATGCTGTGAAAACCTAAAGCCAAAGCTTGATCAGTTTAAATATTATTTTTCAAGTAAAAATGTACCCCAAACTAGTTAACTGTGGCTCCATGTCAAATGGACTAAAGAAAGGAAGGGGGAAAAAATCAAATTGCTGGAGAATTGTTTATTTCCATTTATACAACATTTGACTTTACATTCAATACAGGGTGCCATTTTACACTGTTTATTTTTTTGTATCAAGGCTGTAACATAAAGAAAGCCGGTTCTTACCACAAAGCATCTTTCAATCGCAAATATTGCAAAAAGGATTCATATATGCACATTGTGAACGTTTAAGACAAATAGCAACACTTAAAACAACTTCCGAACTGGAAAAAACTAATACCCGCGATAAACATCTGTTTAAGTACCGGATGAGGTTATCTCTGCTTTCTCAATGTCCATATTGCTAGATATGCCGAGTTTTAAGGCGAAATCCCGGGGAATTTTGTCTAGAAATACAATTACCCTAACCGTGCGCGATCCCGCAGTGGTTAATCATTTTTTGGTAGCCAGTCGCTTTTTGGCACAACACCGGGTTGGGGGGTGGGGGGTGCAGCTCTGGTTGGGACAATTATTACATTAACTGGTGGACCTGTAAATAAATAGTTTGTAAATAAGGTAGAAATAGATAGAAATAAGTTCCTCACGCTGATAAATAATAACTAATCTCTCTGAGGACACGGTGCTAGTGCACTCTCCTACAGAACCTTGACATGACTAAATACATATTATGCAAAATTTTGTGAACATCAGTTAATTTGCATTTTTTTGTTATAAATGCAACTGTATAATTCTTGCTGTCAGTATTTGCAAGATTTTGGTATTTGGGTCTGTACTGGTTAGACTTAAATGAGTTAAACCAAGGTCTATAGCCCTTGGGTCATAAACTATGAGCTATAAGTATATTGGTCTTTTTATACTGGGAATCAGGAGTTATTTTAGTGATCATCTTGTTTCTTATTTATTTTTGTCCTGATTGTGCCATGAGCAATTTTTTGACAGAATAAAAACAAAGTCAACATTAATTGAAAGATCGTCTTAAATAATCGAGATCTCAATTTCAGACACAATAATCGTGATTATTATTTTTGCCATAATCGAGCAGCCATAATTTGACCCCTTTTCTCCACCAGATGCGAAAGCGGCATGTGATGTAATAGCGGAGTTTTACCCGGTAGCGGAAGCGTTCCACACAGCCGATCGAGTGAGGTCACAAAATCACAGGAGAACTGCAACACCATGTGTGATTTCAGAAGTCCATACAATGAAAAGCAAGGAGACAGGCAGCGGCATGTCTCCAAAAAGACCCGTGGTTTACTTTCTGTTCTGTTTACATCGGTTACAGAAGTTGCACATGACTTTAATTGAGACAGATTCCAGATGTTTTACACTGATTTTGTATTTGACTTCCAGTCTGGTCTGGTCTAAACTGCAGAGTTTGACGTTTTTGGGAAGCATAGCGTGTCAAAATTCACTTCAATCATAACGATAGTGTCCCGTTGCTTCTGAGACATGTCCAAAATGTCAGACTTGGCTGCCGGTGGTAAGGAACTCGTCCGCTAGAACGACGGCTAATTGCTATGTAGTACATTTTGCGGCGCTTTCACGTCCAGTGGAAAGAAGGGAATTGAGAGTTAGATCACGGGGCTGCTCGATTATGGCAAAAATGATAATCATGATTTTTTTTTTTTGGGCTGAAATTGAGATCTCGATTATTTTACGCGTTCTTTCATTAACGTTGATAACAAATACACATAACAAATGATAACAGTGCAGAAATTTGTAAAAATAAATAAATAAAGGCTAGGCAGTTTAATTATATAGCACATTTCATACACAGAGGCAATTCAATGTACTTTCCATTGCTATAAAGAGACATAAATGTCCATGTTTTAGTGAACTTTCACTGCGGTGCCGTTGGGGAAGGTTAGGGTTACAGCAGTGTGGTGTTGAGAAATTGGAGGTGTGGTGTGAGAGCGGTCAAATGTATGACCAACACTCATTTCATGAAACTTTGCAGCCCTAATAAAATTAATATTCACTTCAGACATGGCTCGCTGTATCCAGTTTTTGTGAGACAATGAGATCCACTGCCTGCGGAGTGCAGGCTGGGTGTTTTGTTAACCTGCAGGAAATATCAACAAAGTTATACAGAAGGTAGCTTAGGGCAACAGAAATCATTTTGTAGGAAGTCATGAAGGGGTCTGAAAAGTTGTTGGAAGTTGCAGCAAAGCTGCTAAGTTGGCAACGCTGTGTGGGAGGTGCGCTCACGGGCAACGTGAGAGTGAACTGAGAGGGAGGAGCAAGTCGGCTCTTTTTGCTTTCATAATTGTTCAAAACCCAGATCAGGTTAAAGTTTGATGAATCGAGCAGCACTTACGTATTGGGATTTTGACAAAAATGCCTTAATCAAACATCCCTTGTAAAAATTACTGGTTATAATTTGGTATTCCCTGTCATGGTTTGTGGAACTAAAATAACTCTGTTGTCGTCCGTTTGAAGCAGGAATCTGATCACAAAGTACCTGAACCTCTGGATTCCCAGTTGCCCAGATCTGATGAACCCTTTGAAGAACTGAATGGGTCCACCCACAGACACCCCGCAGAACAGCAGTCCCACACTCCATGGCAGCGCAGCTCCGACCTGACCCCAGAGGCGTGGCAACAGCAAGTAGATCAACAGCTCCAGGAACAAGAAGAACTTGAGCAACAGGCTGAATCTCTGAACAGCCATGACCCTCATCACAGGCTTAAATCTGTATTTTCAGAAAGCAAAAGTATGTCAAACTAAGGTTGTTTTGTTTTCAAAAACCAGAATGCTCCTTATTTACATGTTTTACCCATTGTTTATTCTCCTGGCGCTCTCCAGCCATGATCATAAAGAATGTGAAGGTCACCACCACAGTGGAGACTATCCTGAAAGCTTTGGATCCATTTGCTTACCTGGATGAGAGAAATGTTCGACTGGTGAAAGGAAAGCCACATGCGGGGAAGTACGGAAAGTCCTTCTGCTTTGTTGACATGGACTCACACGAGGTACTTTCAGGAGTCTCCTAACCCAGTTTGCTGTTGACTCATTTAATTTTTATCTCCAGTTTATAATTGCCTGCTCTGCATTTGTGTTTTTTTTTCTAGCAAGTGACGCGTCTGGTTGAGCTCCTCACTAAACCCAAACCCTTGTACATCGATGGGGTCAGGGTTCACGCGGAAGTAGCAAGACCACTAAAGAACCCCAAGTAAATGACTGACTTTTTTATATCAACTGTGTTAAACAAATCTTGATCAGTAGCTTATTATGGATTTGTTTCTTTTTTGTTGTTGTTTTTTAGTATAAGAAGAGATTTTGATAAACAAGGTGCTTTACCTCCTGGAATTCCGTCTGAGGCTGGCATGATTGTGGTAAGAGGTTCACATTTACCCTTTAAGTGCTAAAGTCGCTGAGTTGCGACAAGCATCATTGCTGAGTTTAACAAACTATAAATATAAAACAGTGAACATTTCTAAATAACATGTAAAAATAAATAGGAGTATCTATAAAAAAAATTCTCTCCAATATGGCAGCCTGATGATGTCGTATGCAAATGTGAATGAATTTGTCCCCTTCACAAACTTTGGGTCATAGTGAAAACTTTTTGTTTAGTTTACTTTTATCTCCAACCATTTTGGACCTACAGATTTCTGAAATAGTCACATCTAATTAGATTTTATTTTGTTAATCAAAACTACGAGAGCAATAATAAAGTCAAAGGTATGTTAAAGAAAATCAAATAAAATGCCAGTTAAGGGGGAACCGGCACAAAAGATGAGGGGATGTTTGGAGATTAGTTCATCTATGAGATGTCTCCCCATCATTCAAGTGAGATCAATAACAATTATTGATTTATATAGTTTTTAATTATACAGTCCAGCATCCATTAATCCTTATGTTGCTGTGTAAAAGTCTGGGTTTTATCCTACTGAGCTCGCACAGAAGGATGTCTCCCTGCCTTTTATGACCTTTGAGGTTTCTGTGAGCTGGGCTTTAAAACGGTTTCCTGCTCCATCTTGGTCCAACAAATGTAAACAATGGTGTTTTTCATAAATGTAGTATTTGCTCTCCAAACGAAAGGCGAGACATCTAAATCCTGTAGGTGAACTGAAACGTTTTATGTTATTGCAGATGCAGCTGTACCCACAACCGCTGCACTATTTGCCACCTCCGCTGCCTCATGCTGGGGCCCCTCCTGGAGCGGTAGGAGCAATGCCAGGTAAGTGTTTAGAACCCACATGCTGTTGCTAAAGCAGAGCAGAAGACATCAAGCTAAATGTTGTTGCGTCTTTTGCCTCCAGGTGATTTAGTGACTGGCTGTCTTCCTCCTGCCCTCCCGTCAGACCCCAGCCTGAGCCAGGTTGGTTGTGAACAACAACACCACCTCCACCTAAAACCAGTTGTGTAACTGATGTTTTATCTCCACACAGGGTGTAGACTTTGGAAAAACTGCTGCTGTAGCTCCGGTATATTCGACTGAAGGACTTCATGTGTCACCAGACGCCGCAGGGACAACAACTACCTCCACAGATGGATCACAGCTTTATGTTTGTGGTAAGAAAACGCAAAAGGTTTAGCTCTATTTTATTCAATTACTGCTGAATATTTATCTCGGGGATAATTTTTCTATTTATTTATAAACCAAGTGTATTTGTCACATTTGCTCCAGGCTCTGAGGTTCCCGACACATCCAACTATTTGTTTGATTCAACATCTGGTTTCTTCTACGATCCGGAGACGACGCTGTACTACGACCCAAACTCAAGGGTGAGAGGCCCACTTAACATTTAGTCCCACCGTGCCACAGTTCAGTTATTATAAATGACTTTATGTTTTCTGGCTTGGCTATAATTTCTAATTTTGTAGTTGTGCAGGTTTGCCTGACCCTCTGACCCCGGCAGCGGAACGTTGCAGCTTTGAATAGAATCCATTATAGTTTATGTGGTTGATCCAAACCGGCCGCGGCGTGCACCATTTCAGGCAGCAGCTCGCTGCATCGTGCCGCAAAAGATAGGATTGGGTTCTATTTTTCCGCGAGCCGCTTTTGGGACGAGTCAATTTCCACAATTAACATAGTGCTTGACAGAAAATCGCACACTATTATCAGTGTAAAATATCAGTAATTTTCAAAATAAAAGTATTGCAGGGATGCAATGTCTTATCTATGTACGTCTATACTTGTGACCTCACGGCTTATTTACTACCAGTATATTTCGAGAAGTGCGACAAAAATAAATAAAACAAAAGATTTTATTTCCTTGTTAGCGCTCATATAGCGCCTATCAGAATGCTTTAATTCGTTTAAAAATGTTTCATTTCTACCTCTTTATTTCCTCGTTTAGTATTTCTACAACGCCCAAACCCAGGAGTACTTGTACTGGGATGCCACGTTAAAAACCTACATCCCAGTTCCAGGAGGGCATTCTGCAGAGACCCGGCCAGCAACGACGATGACAGCAGAAGACCAAGCCATTCTGTCCAACCCAGCTGCAGATGCTCCTCTAGAAATGAAGAAGCCCTCAGAGCCACCTCAGGCGTCCACAGCTGCAGCCCCGGTTTCTGTTTCAGCTGAAAACTCCACAGAAGCTGGATTGGCTTCCACCGCGGCTCCTGACAAAAAGGAGGACGATGAGTCTCCTAAAAAGGATAAAGAGGACAAGCCAAGAAGTATCGCTGCTGTCAAGGTATTTCTTTATCTCTTGTAATACAAAAAACATAAATAGCAAACAATTGAATGCTGTGGCTGGTCGCAGATTATGAAAGACATGGAGCGCTGGGCGAAGATCCAGAATCGTCAAAAGGACAGCGTGCGTGCTCCGTCTCCCGTCCTGAGGACAGAAATGGAGGGTGAAAAGAAACAGTCCAAGTCAGCTGATGCTGCTTTTGCTATATTTGAGAGGAAGGTTAGAAACTTATCCTAAACATTCCTAAACACCTCTAAAAAGAACGTCAATGTGACATTTTTGGTCCTTTGGTTGAAGATTTCAGGTGGTGATGAACTTTTTAAGACGCCCCTCACTCCTGCAAAGAAAGAAGAAAAATCAAAGGTAATTGTTCATCCTAATATAACCTGGAGGTTTTTTTTTTTTTTTTGCTACTTATTTTAGCCATTTCTGCTTTTTACATCAGCGTCCGATGGGCTCTTTGGGTCTCCTGGCGTCAGACTATGGAGCTGGAAGTGATGAAGAGGTGGAAGAAGATAGAGAGGAAGCTGCTAAGACCAGTCAGAAGAGCCAGCCCGAGGAGAAGGGGGACAAACTGACAGACTGGAAGAAGATGGCCTGTTTGCTGTGCAGGAGACAGTTCCCCAACAAGGATGCTCTGATCCGCCACCAGCAGCTTTCAGACCTGCATAAGGTACAACAGCTCAGCTCGTATTTAAAGCACATACAGAATAACATTTTGCTCTTAACAGTAGTTTGTTAAAGTAGTCCAGCAATTAACCGTGATAATTTAGCTGTCACCTTTTTCACACCTTTCAAGTTTGCAGGTAATTTAAATATCAGAGGGATCAAAATACATTATTTCTAGATCTAATCTGTAATGTTTTCATTTATTTATTTTCATTTAAAAAGCAAAATATGGAGATCCACCTAAAGATCAAGAGGTCAAAGAAGGAGCTGGAGGCCCTGGAGAACCAGGAAAAAAAAGTGAGTGAATGTTCCGAATGGTACCAAATATTGTTTTTTGATACTAAAAGTTTTTTTTTCTTCTTTAATAGCTACACTCTAAAGAACCTTCTGGATCTCCCGAAAAGAAAAAAAGAAAACACTATCACCATCACTCTCACAAACGTTCAAACACTCGGGCTGGAAGCTCTGGGTAAGCTCAGAGGGAATGAGATGGAAAAGAAAGTGAAATTAAAATCCTGCACAAATATGAGATTCTTTTTGGTTTGGTTTGTTTTCAGGGAAACAAACCAAGTCAGCGAGCGGCCTGGACTGGGGGCTGAACCTGTTCAGGTAAATCTGATCCGTCTTTTATCTCATACGGAGCACTTTACACTTCAAATTCATCTTCAAGAACTTTTTATTCTTCCCCCTTCAGCAGCAAAAGAAGGAGCCGGTTGTTTGGGACCACACCACCTACAAACAAGCAGTTCGCAAAGCCATGTTTGCACGGTTCAAGGAACTTGAGTGATCTCATCTGGACATGTCTTCATTTTGATGTTTGCCACGCCTGGCCGACCACCTTTTGCATGAGGATTCCATTTTGGCTGCATTGTCTTTAGTGTATTGTGTATAAACATGTTTTTGTGGCCTGTATGTACAGTTGTGAAACATTTTTCCCTTTTTAAAAAAAAATCAAATTGAGTCTGGTCTCATGCATTTTGTTTTTAACTGAAACAGTTTAAATTCTAATGGGTACAAAAGGGCAAATCGGATTATTTCTTTATATCTTTTTGTTTTGCTATGTGGTTGACTGAGCACTAGGTGGCAGTATAACATCTGTTTGGTGCTAATATGAATCCATAACGGCAAAACCCTTCCTGTTAAATACATCCTTTTAGACATGCACTAGTAGAATAGCTGTGGTTTTCTAAATAACAGGGACTGCATGGCTTGTTGATCAAATTTTCGAGCACCATTAACAGGAGATCTTTCGGAATAGGCCAAAAGGCTGCTGTCACTCCTCAAACAGCAACACCTGGTGTAGGTAAATGTGTGTCAGCGGTTGGCAGCAGATGAAGACGATGTAGTTTGGTGTAAATCTTGTTCTGTGGCTTTGCAACAAAACCACAGTGATTATTGGGTTCAGATGTTTCAAGATGTTTATGCAGGAGAGCAGGGAAATTTAATAGTGTTGAACTTGGCAGTAATCAAGGCGGTGGTGTTGAGAAATGCTCAGTTTGCTTGAACATGACTTTAATTTACCTTTAGAGGATCTAAACATTAAAAATGCTCTTAGTCTTTTCTTTGTTCTGCATAAAATGTCAACACCAGCAGGTCCACAAGACATCAGTTGCTTTCTAAAAATAATTGCATTAACAGTTTAACCAACTTGCTGCTCTCTTCCATTTGGACCTCCTAAAATGTAAACAATCATATAAAAATAGCCCAAAAATGCTCGCTTGTGGGCAAAGATGAACTTGATCCCAGTCCAATTTGGTATTTATCTTCACATCTATATGTTCTTGTTACAAACGGCAGCCTGACCTCTCCAGCATCAGGAGCCGGTGTTCCGACTATCCGTGCTCCTCATCGAAATGCTCGACTTTGGGAAAAGGCGCGTGCGCAGGCCGATTATTGCGTCACAGCAGGCTGTCAAGACGCGCTACCTGTGGACGTTTACGTTTAATCTCGTCACTTAAATATGGAACTAGAATTGGGACAATATTCAGCATAACTTGTACCAAGTTTTGTAACTCCGAACATGTTTTATCACATGTAATTTTGGATTCGTAACTTGTAACTTTAGTTTTCTAACTTGTAATTCTCAATTTGTACTTGTACGGGTGTTTGTCTTCCTACAAATGCTCGGAAAAATATAAATTGGCTACTTTGTGAAGGAGTTAGGACATAATATATAATCAATAATTACCACAAATTGCCAGGGGGAATGTGATTATATAAAATTTTTGTGATTTGTCCTACCATACTCCGTTCAAACTGACTTATGGCGCTGTGGGATGTTTGGAAACTGAGAGCTCCATGAACGACGTGGCCACGAGTCAGCGAGTTCAAAGAGTGTCGTAACTCTCTTTCTACAGCTCTGACAGAACCCTGCCCTCCTCTCCCAATGATTGGACAGGAATTCGAGAAACATGATTGGTAGCTAAGACTCGTGCTGTCATTGGTTCTACCCAAGTTCCTCCCACTGATGCTAGAATCGAGACAAAAAGATCCGTAACTGTACAGGTGCTGGCCAGTAAATTAGAATATCATCAAAAGGTTGAAAATATTTCAGTAATTCCATTCAAAACGTGAAACTTGTACATTATATTCATGCAATGCACACAGACCAATGTATTTCCAATGTTCATTACATTTAAATTTGATATTCATAAGTGACAACTAATGAAAACTCCAAATTTGGTATCTCAAAAAATTAGAATATTCTGAAAAGGCTGAATATAGAAGACACCTGCTGCCACTCTAATCAGCTGATTTACTCAAAACACCTGCAAAGGCCTTTAAAAGGTCCCTCAGTCTTGTTTTGAAGGCACCACAATCATGGGGAAGACTTCTGACTTAACAGCTGTCCAAAAGACAATCATTGACACCTTGCACAAGGAGGGCAAGACACAAAAGGTGATTGCTAAAGAAGCTGGCTGTTCGCAGAGCTCTGTGTCCAAGCACATTAACAGACAGGCGAAGGGACGGAAAAAATGTGGTAGAAAAAAGTGTACAAGCTCTAGGGATAACCGCACCCTGCAGAGAATTGTGACGACAAACCCATTCAAAAATGTGGGGGAGATCCACAAAGAGTGGACTGCAGCTGGAGTCAGCGCTTCAAGAACCACCACGAGGAGACTCATGAAAGACATGGGATTCAGGTGTCGCATTCCGTGTGTCAAGCCACTCTTGAACAAGAAACAGCGCAAGAAGCGTCTCGCCTGGGCCAAGGACAAAAAGGACTGGACTGATGCTGAGTGGTCCAAAGTTATGTTTTCTGATGAAAGCAAGTTCTGCATTTCCTTTGGAAATCAAGGACCCAGAGTCTGGAGGAAGAGCGGAGAAGCACAGAATCCACGTTGCATGAGGTCCAGTGTAAAGTTTCCACCGTCAGTGATGGTGTGGGGTGCCATGTCATCTGCCGGTGTTGGCCCACTCTGTTTCCTGAGGTCCAGGGTCAATGCAGCCGTCTACCAGGAAGTTTTAGAGCACTTCATGCTTCCTGCTGCTGACCAACTTTATGGGGATGCAGACTTCACCTTTCAACAGGACTTGGCACCTGCACACAGTGCCAAAACCACCAGCACCTGGTTCAAGGACCATGGTATCCCTGTCCTTGATTGGCCAGCAAACTCGCCTGACCTTAACCCCATAGAAAATCTATGGGGTATTGTGAAGCGGAGGATGCAATACGCTAGACCCAACAATGCAGAGGAGCTGAAGACGACTATCAGAGCAACCTGGGCTCTCATAACACCTGAGCAGTGCCACAGACTGATCGAGTCCATGCCACGCCGCATTACTGCAGTTATTGAGGCAAAAGGAGCCCCGACTAAGTATTGAGTGCTATACATGCACATTCTTTTCATGTTCATTCTTTTCAGTTGGCCAACATTAGAGAAACAAACATTTTTTCATTGGCCTTTAGAATATTCTAATTTTCTGAGATACCAGATTTGATGTTTTCATTGGTTGTCACCTATAAATATCAAATTTAAATGTAATGAACATTGGAAATACATTGGTCTGTGTGCATTGCATGAATATAATGTACAAGTTTCACGTTTTGAATGGAATTACTGAAATATTTTCAACCTTTTGATGATATTCTAATTTACTGGCCAGCACCTGTAGATTTGAGGTTTGTACCCGTAGAATGAAATGTGTGTTTTGAGAGTTTTGATTTCAAACTTGTACCTTGATTTTTTTCAATTTGGAAGTCTGCTAGTTACAAAACGAAAGTTTCATGTTTCTGAATGAATGTTTGATGTTACAAAATGAGTAGTAAATGTACAAATAAAAGTTTGATTTTACAAAATAAATAATACATGTACAAAATACAATGTTCCTGTTACAAAACAAGAAATACAAGTACGAATTGAGAATTACAAGTTAGAAAACTAAAGTTACAAGTTACGAATCCAAAGTTACATGTGATGAAACATGTTCGAAGTTACAAAACTTGGTACAAGTAACGCTGAATGTTGTCCCAATCCTAGCTCCATACTTATCTAGTTACTTTCAGCTCGTCGAAGGTCAGTGTTTCTTTAAGTAGTTTTATTAAATTACTGCTTGCTGTATGTTTACCTGACAGTTGGCTTGTAAATGGCTTCCAAAATATCGTTATTATATTGTAAACAAGACATTTCTCCCATTGTTTACAGTCATTCTGAAAGAGTCCCAAACTAATATCAAAAAGTTTTATACATACAAAAAAATTATCATAGATGTATAATAATCTCCTAAATTATACATTCAAACAAATATTATTTTGGTTAAAACGTGCTCCTTGTTAGTCATTTTGAGTAAGATAGGCTTACCTTGGTTACCTATTTAAACAACATAAATAAAACACTAATGACAACAAAACCTGCAATATTTCTTATGTCAGCCATCCTTCACACACACCCATTATCAGTCGGCGTTGTAACACTTCTCCAAGGTCGTTGAAGTTTTTAACTCGTCCTTAAAATTCCTCCACGTTTGGTTTTACAGAAGACTTTGTGATCATATTGTTTTGGTTTTTATAACAATCATTTATAGGGTTTATTATATATATATATATATATATATATATATATGGATTTTTTAAATTATTTTTTTATTTATTTGCTAGTTTGTGTCAGTAATTACTAAAATTGGAGCTCAAATGTGAGAAACATAAATGCATTGAACTTTTAGCCCATGTAATTGCATATAAAAGTTTCCTCCAATTCAATGGAACATTTTACAAAATAAACTATTCAACACTTTATGCACTGAAAGGTAAAAAAGAACGGCATGATGTAGATGAAAAAAGTTATTTCTACTAAATATTTTGGTGGAAAAATTCATATCCAGCTGGCTGTGGGGATTGTCAGAATTTCTCCTTTCAAAACAAAGGAAGGATGTAACAACTGTTTACCATCAGTGAGTGTGAGGTTGCCGTGTCTCCTGCGAGCTAATACTGCAGCACCGACAGTTGTGATTTGACCAGGGCTGAAAAAAACTTCCAGGGTTGTTTATACATCATTTCTACATATGCACCTTGAAGTAAACAAGCTGAAGCTGGCCATGCCCACCCATCCACCTCCACTTAGGCTGCTATAAGCTGAGAAGCTCTGAGAGCTTCTCCAGCATGCAGCAGCCTTCTTTTACACGTGAGAGGTGGTTCTTTTCAAAGTTCCTAACGAGGACTTTTTGAAACTTTGTTATTAAACCCAGACACTGACGGAAAACAGACGGATGTGTTTTTTCCAACATTTTGAGTGTTTATAGAGGCAGTAGAGATCAACATGGCAGCACACGGGGAGTTTTGCATAATGTTCTCTTTAAAACACCTCCGTGACAGATGTCACTATTCACTCCTAATGGTCTATGGAGTGAAAATTAATATCAAATTAGTGTGTGAGGATGAGAGCCTGCAATTAAAAAAAAGCCAGGGCATCATGGTTGGATTTTTTTCTCCCATGTGCTTGTAAAGGAGAGCAGTGGCAGAA